ACCAGGGAAGCCCCTTATTCACTCTGATGCTTATCACTTCACTGTCTCCTCAGCGGACAGTATACTGCTGCCTTTCCCTGATCTTAACTTTTCCACCTGTCCTCATCTTCTGTTGTCTTAGTTTCTTAATTAGTATGGGACTAATAAAATGCTGCATTTTCATTGTCCAGAATTGACAGCTAGGCTTTGAAATTGCATAAATTCTTTTAAAGGGGGAGAGAAAAGCATCAGCAAAGCTCAAGTTGCCTTTAGCTTCTCTCTCCTCATGGTCTCTCCCTCCTTCCCACCCCACCTTGCCATCCCAACCTTATAGGATATTTTAAAAATATTTATAGAAATTATGTGAAATATTAAAAAAAAAAGCTTTCCCACATAAGCATGTCAAATTTGCCTTGTATAGATACTGTTCTGCCTGCTGTATGAAGAATAGGTTGGTGGGTAGGAGCAAGACTGAATACAGAGTCAAGAGTTGATTGTCAGTCATCCCATTGAAAAATAAATGGTAAAAAAAAAAAAATGGTAGAGGTTGTGTTTAGAGTGGTTAACAGTGGAGAGAGTGAGTAGTGGACAAACTAGTAATCTGAGGATGTAGGGTTGATAGAAATTAGTGAGTGATGGGATGCAGTGAATAAAGGAGAAGGCGCTGTTGAGGATAACCCTCAGGTTTTTGACATAAGCAGCTGAGATAGTAGTAGTACTGTTGACTGAACTAGGGAAAGCTAGAAAAGGAGCAGAGTAGGGTAGTAAAGAGATTGATTATGGTGAATTGATTGTCTTTGTGAATCTAAATGATGTCAAGTGGATGCTTGAGAGGACTGGAATAGAGTTCAGAGAAAGTCTAAGATGGAAAAACAAAATTACTAGTATAGTGATGGTAGTGGAAACTATAAGTGGAGAGTAGATCACTTTGGTGGGTGGGAAGAAGACCCAGCCCTGGGACTAATGACCGAGGGATTTGGTAGAGGAAGTTAATCTTACAAAGCAGGCCGAGAAAGAGCAGCTAGAAGTAAAATAGGGAAACCTGGAAGCCAAAGAAGGACAGTTTCAGGAGAAGAGAGAGTGGTGAGGCATAGAATGCTGCTTAGATATTAGGTTAGCTCTGTCTGTGGGATTCAGAGATGAGGGGGTCATTGATGATCTTGGGAAGAACTGTTCCTGGTTTGATAGAAGCAGATGTCAGGTGAGATTTGGCTGGAGAGGGAATGGGAGAGGGAAGATAATAGAGGGAGAAGTTTGGGCAGCTCTGTTAACAGTTGGATGTGAAAGAGGAGAAGAGTTCCTGGGGGAGGAGATGGGAGGTGTGAGGTTGAAGGGATAGGCACAAGTAGGTTATTTATTTTTTTAATGAATGAGCGAGTGGATGAATGAACGGATGGTCTAGTTGAGTGTGAGAGGTTGATGAGTGCCAAGGAATAATCATAATGTAAGGTTCTAGAGAGATGAGAGGGGATAGATTGTAATAACATACACAGTGTTTACATATATACATTTACACAGAAAGGGATTGATTGCCTTTAGATTGGGGGGAAGAATAGCATGGGGGGTGGGAATGCTGTTCTAATAGGATAAATGCTTATTGTTGTGGATTTCATACTTGAATGTAAATTCACTGAAAAACCCTCTGAACAGTAAACCAGAGGGTTGCTGCTGCTGCTGCTAAGTCACTTTAGTCGTGTGTGACCCCATAGACGTCAGCCTACCAGGCTCCCCCGTCCCTGGGATTCTCCAGGCAAGAACACTGGAGTGGAGTGCCATTGCCTTCTCTGAAACCAGAGGGTTGAGAGTCTTTTATCTCAAAGATGCAACTCCCATTTGATCATTTTATCATTTCTACTGCCAACTACATTTGACTACCTCTACCAGGAAAATCCCACTTTTTTCCCCCTGATTGAAAACCATATATGCAGTAAATAATCTGTTTGGGAGGATTAATCTGTACATATGACATCTTTTCCCCTGGTGTTTTGGGTACTTCATCTTTATTCCATTGCAGAGAATTTTGTTGGAGTTTTGATTTCTACTTTGTTTTACTTTTTTCCTTGTTTTATGAATTACAACTAAATTCCACTATGGGGAGAACTTCTAATAGAATTAACTGACTAAATTTGACCTAAATAGTAATTGCTGTCCTGAGCAGAAAAAACACAAGTCCTTTTTTCCTTCAGAAGACTTTTCAGTAGACTTTTATGTTAGAATGGAGTTTTGAGTAGAGTTGTATGGGATACAAAATTCAACAGTTATAAAACTCTTGTACGGTAAAAAGTCTTTGACTCCTGTGCCTCAGTCACTCTCTTTCCCAGCGCGGCTGGTGTTACTCTCTTCTTTACTATCCTTCCAGAGATTTCTGTGCACATACAGACAAACTCATACAATTTTGTTCATTTTACACTATTGATATAATGTATCTTTTTTGTTCATTTAATGTTATGTATTAGAAAGTGCTCCATGTTAGTATATAGAGAATTTTTTAATTCTTTATGGCCACATCGTATGGGCGTACCATGATGTCCTATTTATGGTTGATGCCAGTGTTTGTGATTGATATGGACGTATTTAAGTGGTTTTGCCTGCAATACTGGTTGCTTTTTTGGGAAGCAGAAGTCATTGTAAATCTCAATACTTAAAATTTAAGGAACTTGAAAGGTTGACGTGTCATGTTGAAAGACATTGATAATTGTTTTGTTTTCTTACAAGGAAAAACAGTCTATATTTGTGTTATCCACATAATTTATTTACTTGAAGAAGCAAGAGTTTTAACGATCATTTTAACAGATCATTTTAGTGTCTTTTCTGATATTTAAGAAGAATTTTATTCTGGAGTATATAACTTCACTCTCTGCAGAAGAGTTAACTCTCATGTTTATTTATTTAGAAAACCTTGTTTTATCCCTCTTACCCGAGGATATTGCATATCTATAAATATTTTATTTCTTGTTTTTTTTTCTCTTTTCTGTCAGCATGCTTCATTTAAGACACTGGCATTTTGTTGATTGAACTTTTACTCCCTCTGTTGGCTTTCAGTGGTGTTACATTCCTTTTGGAGTGGTGTTTGCAATGACCTTTATGCTATTTTTCTTTTAGCTCAAAAATTAATAATGATACAAATATACTTTTTTTTGGGCTGTGTCATGTGGGATCTTGGTCCCCGACTAGGGATCGAACCTGGGCCCCCTGCAGTGTGTGGAGTCGTAACTACTGGACTGCCAGGGAAGTCCCATGGGATTTTTAATTTATAAATGTTTCCAGTGGTCATGAATGTTCTGATTTTCATGAATGTGTTAGGGAAACTTCGTCAGAATGCCCGTTTTATTTATTTCCTTGGCTGTGCTGGGTCTTTGTTGCTGCACGGGCTTTCTTTAGTTGTGGCGAGCTGGGGCTCCTCTAGGTGCAGTGCGCAGGCTTCTTATCGCTGTGGCTTCTCTTGTTGCAGAGCATGGGCTCTAGGGCCTGTGGATTCCAGAAATTGCGGCACGAGGGCTCAGTCATTGCGGCTCCTGGGCTCTGGAGCCCAGGCTCAATAGTTGTGCTTCGGGCTTGGTTGCTCCGTGGGACGTGGGATCTTCCTGGATCAGAAATCGAACCTGTGTGTCCTGTATTGATATGTGGATTCTTTACCAGGGAAGCTGCAGAATGCCTATTTTGTCAGCAGCTAAGAACAGGACCTAAGCGGGGAGAAAAATAACAGATATGTAAAACATTCATGTTTATATGTTTATAGTAAGCAAAAAGTAGACTTGTCATGTTAGATCAATGGAAGGATTTTTCAGTTATCTTCCGATTGCTATCTACCACATAGTGAACTATCAAGTAACTTGATGAAATGATGTAATGGAGGTGTCTTATTGTACCTTTACTAACACCATGTAGCTTAATGTTTGTGTCTGTCTGTGACTTGTGGGACATTATGATAATTGCCTTCTTTAACATCAGTTGTTCAAGGTGACATACTTACTTGCCTTGCACATTGTTAGCATCCTCTTAAAAACTACCAGTTAATGAACATCGTGCTGTATAGGTCACAACTCTTGTGGTTAAAGATTATGTCCTGTTTCTCTTAGGAGTAAGTGGAGTTGTAGCACACACAGTGGGGGAAAGATATTAGGTTCTAAAGTTAGCATTGGAGGTGGATAATGCATGTGTAGGGTGTTTTAAACCCTTTAAGTCATTCTTAAAAGAGAGAGTATTAGGTTTTCTGGGTTCACAAAGTAGTTTATCCGTATTTAGTGGCTATTGTTTATGAAACAAAACATACGTTTAAACACTAGACTCATATTCGGCATGATGAGAGGTTTATGGGAACTAGGAAGAAATGATGAAACAACAGATTCAGGTTTTTCGGCTTAATGCCTGTCTAGAGCAGCTCCTATTGGGCAAAATGGCAGACAGCTTTGATCACATAATTATTTTTGTTGTTCACTTGTCAAATGTACGTAGTTGATGGGTTTTTTCCCTTTAACGAAGGTGTGCATTTGATGTCACTCCCCTGTAGCTCGATCCCTTGCTTCTTTTCTTTGAAGATTTGAACATAAAAGTAATCATTCCAGTTAACTTGTTCTAGATCACTTTTTTGAAGCATTCTTTTTCATTTATATTGGAGTTAAAAATGTGTGCTACCTATATCAGAGTTTTGAGGATCCTTTTCTCGAACACTTTAAATAAAGTTTTAAAGTTGAGAATAGTTGTTTGGTTGCTTGCTGACCTTGCAAATTGAGTAACAGAAGATTAATATTGTGCCATTTTTAGTAGCCATGTATGCTAGTATTTGGTTGCATTAAGTCCTTTGAATTTGACTTGTTCGAGCAATTAATAGATACATATATTTTAAAGGCCCATGTGATGACTACTTTTAGTATCCACTTAGAAAGGTAGGATGTCGTGTTGATTCAGTGATCTGCTATTTCTGTTTATTGATTTTTGTGTGTTTTTGTACAGGTTGGTTTCCTGTTACATCTTTGACATAGTTTCCTAGACTGCTCCATGAATTAACTCGAAAATCTGAAATGAAGATGGAGGAGGCAGTGGGAAAAGTTGAAGAACTCATTGAGTCTGAAGTGCCACCAAAAACATCTGAACAAGAGACAGCTAAGGAGGAAGATGGATCTGTGGAACTGGAATCTCAAGTTCCAAAAGATGGTGTGGTGGATTCTACAGTTCTTTCTTCAATGCCCTGCTTGTTGATGGAACTGAGAAGGGACTCTTCTGAGTCTCAGTTAGCATCCACAGAGAGTGACAAGCCGACAGCTGGCCGAGTTTATGAGAGTGACTCCTCTAACCACTGCATGCTTTCCCCTTCCTCTAGCGGTCACCTGGCCGATTCAGATACATTGTCTTCTGCAGAGGAGAATGAACCCTCCCAGGCAGAAACAGCAGTAGGAGACCCGTCTGGAGTGTCTGGTGCCACAGTTGGGCGTAAGTCTCGCCGGTCACGATCTGAAAGTGAAACATCCACCATGGCTGCCAAGAAAAACCGGCAATCCAGTGATAAACAGAATGGCCGAGTTGCCAAGGTTAAAGGTCATCGGAGCCAAAAGCACAAGGAGAGAATCAGGCTACTGAGGCAGAAGCGGGAGGCTGCTGCACGGAAGAAATATAACCTGTTGCAGGACAGTAGTACCAGTGATAGTGACCTGACTTGTGACTCAAGCACGAGCTCATCAGATGATGATGAAGAGGTTTCAGGGAGCAGCAAGACAATCACTGCAGAGATACCAGGTAGAGGATGTTTTTTAAACTGACTGTAGAGCACCTGATGGCATTTCTCAGCTCTCGGGCTCAGTTAGATGAGTGACACTTGAAAAAAACCCAGGAGACCTGCAGCTCTATGTAAATTTGAAGACTGCAGTGTATTAACAAGACATGCCAATTTAAAAATCTGTTTTGAGGTTTCTAGTGCACTTTAGCACATCAGCCCCCCCAAAAGAAAGTTATATGATAGGGACAAGATTATTTTTAAAGAATGGACTTTCTCACAAGTCTTTTTCTCTGTAACCCATTACCTGAACTCCCATCATTGCCTTTCTAGCACTGCTTAGATCCAATTCTCACTGTTCAGTGTTATTACCAAGTACATGTCCCTCAGGAATAGGCACCGTGCTTTGGTATATAGCCACTGCACTCAAGCTGATGGTGTCTGAAATAACACGTTCTATTTTTGTTAAAGGTTTCTAATAACTGTTCCTGCTAAAACAGTAGTTTTATGTATTCCCCTTCTCCCTCATTCAGTGCATGGTTAGCTCGTCGTCACTTGCATTTGAAAAGAATGTGTTTTGCAAAATTTCCCCCTTAACACCCCCAAGTTTAAAAAGTTCAGTAGAAATCCACTGTTCCAGCTCTCATTGATATGAGTCTTTAATTTATTACGTTTGACATAATCTGCTTTCTCTATATTACTTCGTCTGATACTGTGTACTATGAAGGCAGTATTGAGATTTCCTCGTGGAAGAAAAATGAGATATGAACAGTCTTTAATTGGGTGAATTCTCATTGTTGAAGAGACTTTCGATGAGGAACATTCTGTAAAGTAGTCAGCATTTAATAGATCATGACAGTGTTATTTGTTGCTATGGTAAAGAGGGGGAAGTTTCAGTTTTCAAAGTTTTATGGGTGACTTTTTTTCTCCTAGTTTTTTGAAAGGTTTCTGATTCTGTGCATCAGCATATTGCTGATATATGAAGAATATTTCAAGAAAAATCATATTGGTTAATTAAACCTATAACTAACCAAACTTACAGAAACTCAGTAACAAGAATGATTTTATAGATGTTCAACTTACAATAAAAGTATCATTCATATAGTATATTAAATGTTTTCCTAACAATTGTTGGACATGCTTACTGTTTTAATATCTATTGAATTCCTTTGGTAGTTTCCTGTGTTATAATTACTGGGAGAGAGGGTTTAATGAAGCCCATCAGTTGACTGCATGAGAGAAGCAGACATTGGGGTTGTTTTAAGGCAGGTATATTTAAGTTTTATATTTAGTGTTTTAAGGAAAGCCTATTAACAACCATACAGTTGTTTATGCATTCTTAGGTCCTGTACTAATCTCCTACTCATGATCATAATGGATCTCTTGATACAGTGCTTAATTCCACTCACTAAACAGATTTTTATGTAACTGCCTAATGCTTCTTTGTCTTTTTATGGAAACGGAGAAGGTGGGTGAACAAAAGTTCTCTTTGAAGATAGGCCCCATTGTAGAGGTGGCGTGAGAAATACCTTCAGGGCCGTTCTCCCTGTTTGGCTTACATAGGTTAGGTGTGCTTTGTTCATGTTTTCCAAACCCCTCTGCTAATGACTACCTTGACCAGTAACTAAAACTTCTGAAAGGTCAGTCATCTATTTCTTGTCTATTCTGAATCATATACCAACCAAAACACTAAATTATCTGAATCTATAATTTAGTTTCTGTTTTGAAAATCCGCAGAGTTTTCAAAATATGTAGAGTAATCATGGAGAACCAAATAGTAGGTAAGGTGCAGGGCCACTATATATGACTATCTGGGCTGTACGCTGCAGTTTCTGAAGATGCTGTACGTATAAGCAGCTATGAATGGTCTTTCCTAGAATTATGCAAAGCAACAAAGATAGAACAGCTTAAGTTTAAATATTAGGAAGTTCATTTCAAATATCCACATTGTTATCCCTGAAAAATTTTGACATTGGCCTTTTCTATTGTCATAATTATGTGTACCTCATTTTCTTGAGTCACATTATAACTTCGGGGTAGGAGGGATACACTAAGGCAGTTGTTGAAAAGTTACATGGATTGTAAAGATAGGATAAATTGTGAACTGACTTGAAAGTCGAGTGCAACACTGCAGACATTCAGGTGAACTTAAACTGGATATGTCTAAGAACGAAACTCTTGGGATTTGGAATTTGAATGCAGCGATTTATACAGAATGGAAACCAAGAGGGAGAATAAAAACTGATATTCTTGCTTTACACTTTCATTAAGTTGCAAATAATTTTAGTAGTTCAGAAGTGCTTTATAAACTTTTATTTGGCAGCAGTTTAAACACTGAAGGAATTATGCTAAATGTTGACTTATGCCAAACAATTTAGCAATTAATGCATTTTCTTTTAAAGAGTAAAAATAATGTTGCAGGCTTGCATAGTGCCTGGTGATGCATAATAATTGAGTTTGATATTTGGACCACATGTTTATGGAGTGGTTTTGTAGTCTTAGCATTTAGCTGATAGGCAGCTTAGTATCCACACTAGGTCATTCTCTCCTTGAAGTTTTTGAAACTATTGATATATTTCTCTTTTAAGAATCTGGAAGTATCATATCAAGATAATTCTGGCAGTTCTTTCATTTGGGGGACGTGGAGATGAGCAAAAAATAGAGTATTTTGTAGTGGATATTAATGTGAAAATAGTGTGGTGGTTTTGAGTATTCAAGGTTTTTATTGAGTATCCCATTTATAGGTGATCTTTTAATATTATTAATCATTCTTTGCAGTTTTATTACTGGAGCATTATTTATTCACGGGTTGTGAGAGATGTCAGTTTTTCTGTAAAATCACTTTGAAACTAGATATATAAAGTCTGCTCTTGCAGGGAATTGTTGTTTTTTGTTTTGTTTTGGCTGTGCCACATGGCTTATGGGATCTTAGTTCCTTGATCAGAGATTGAACGAAAGCCCTTGGCATTGAAAGCATGGAGTCCTAACCACTGGATGGCCATGGAACTCCCCCAGGGACTTTTTATTTTAGTGAATGTGAATAATGGACATCAGACTTCAATTCAAAAATTCTCTGAACAGAGCAGCTTATGTGCATCATTGAGGGTGGGCTGCAGAGAAGAGTTTTTCCAGTGACATGTTTTTCATAAATATTTAGTATATAATAAACCTCACGGTAGCTTCATCTTGTGTGTGTGTGCTCAGTTGGTCCCTTGTGTCTGACTCTTTGCGACCTCATGGACTGTAGCTCACCAGACTCTTCTGTCCATGGAGTTTTCCAGGCAACAATACTGGAGTGGGTTGCAATTTCCTACTCCAGGAGATCTTCCCAACCCGGGGAAGGAACTCATGTCTTCTGTGTCTCCTACATTGTCAGGCAGACTTTATACCACTGCACCACCTCGGAAGCCTGTAGCTTCATCTTACCTTGGCTATAATGACCTACTTTTGTGTCGTTTAGTAGTGCACCATGTAAGTGACCACCCAGACTGAGGTTGAAAAGTAGTATCCATCTTGGTAGGTAAGGGTCAGTTGGTTTGCATTTAGAAAACCTAATTGGTCTGTTTTGGAGAATGTCAGGCTGTAGGGGCCACCAAAGACCACCCGAGTCCTTAATCCTTTGTAGTCAGGCTGGGGCAGCTCAGCCCTCCTGAAGCTAGGGTCTCAGCATTCACAGCTCACCGCAATTATTTATGCAGTGATTCCTCACGATTAGCTATCGATTTACGTTTTCCCTTCGTAGAGACTTATTGTGCCTGATCATTTAACTCTTAGAAATGAAAGTAAGTAGTAAATCCTTCATAGAAAAATTTGAAAATAGAAAAATGTGAAGTCTAAGATTAAAATCCTAGTTCTGTTAACATTTAAGAATATTACCTTCCATAATATATAACAGAATTGATCATACTATGTATACTTTTCTTTCCCTCTAACATTGCATTCTGAGCATTTAACCAAAACACAATAGTCCCCCTAAAGCCATGTGTGGATTTTGAATAATTTAACTGACTATAAAATAACTTCCCTAATGTTGACCCTTTGGGCTGTTTTTAGCTTTTGCTATTATGAAGAAGGTTATGAACACTTTTAAGTCTCTCAACGCATACTGCCAAACTACTCTTTAAGACTTTATTGAGTTTATTTCAGCCATGAGCTTAAGTGTTGGTTGCATTATATTCTCTCTTTTGAGTGTTTATGAAAATGTTGCTGGTTTGATGGAAGAATTGTATCTTGGCATTAATTTATATTTCTTTGCCTCACTAATGAAGCTGAACAATCATACTGACCATCTGTATTCTTTTGGTAAACAATCTATTCATGTTCTTTGCACATTTTCCTCTTGCTCCACTTTTGTTTAAAATTGATTTGTGAGGGTTTTTAACCTACTGAGGGTTGAATTACTTGAAAAATTTTATTATTAATTTAAGCTGTAGGAACTCGCAGTGGAAGATGAGACCCCAAACCCAGGTTGGGAATCCTGTAACCTTTTTCCTATATTGAATATGAGATGACTGAAAGCCGCATGTCCACAATTTAAAATCTGATTGTATTTTGGCAGCTGTTTAGGAGACTCATTAAATACACTGATAACAAAATACCAAGACTGTGTAATCAGGTGAAAACTGCCTGAGAGCAGTGATAGTAAATGCAAACAAAGAACGTAGTATCTGGCAGTTTTCATTCTGGCTGTATGTTAAAATTACTTGGGTGGGAAGCACTTAAAACTTAACGATGCCCGCGCTCCATTCCAGATTTGTTAAATCAGAATCTCTGGATCTGACCCAGGCATCAGCATTTTCGCTTCAGCATTTTGGAAACATAATTGACATATAACATTGTGTAAATTTAAGGTATAAAAGGTATTGATTTAATAAATGTCAGTTCAGTTCAGTCTCTCAGTTGTGTCTGACTCTTTGTGACCCCATGGACTGCAGCATGCCAGGCTTCCTTGTCCATCACCAACTCCCCAAGCTTGCTCAGACTCATCCATTGAGTTGGTGATGCCATCCAACCATATCATTCT